TAAAATTACATTACAATATAATATGTTAAAGTAAATGTAATATAAATATAATAATTATAAACATAAAATAATGATTATAATAACTTTGTAATTTGGTTTGTCCACAACAACCATTAAGAATAATTCAGCTTATTATTTCTCTCAGAAAGAACAAGTTGAAATAATAATAATAAAATATAGTTTAAATTAAATATTAAATAATTAACCACTCATTATGATATTTGTGACCTCAGATTATAATAACTAAATATAGAAAAGACATACCTATTTAAATAAACAACACTTTTCACTAAACTGAATTTATACAAAAAACAATGAGAATTTAATAGTAAAACGTCACTCTCCTTTCAAAATGCAAAACCAACTGTTTACAAAATTCAAGAATTAAACCAATCCCTTTCAATATCAATACGTAACTGCCTTCAAAAATACCCTCTCTTCAGTTTTTAACATGCTTTTCTGTTTATTTTATCAAATCTAACCCGGCCTATCGATATGGTTCATTTTGAACGTGAGAACCTTCTCTGTCTACCGATATGGCTCAGACATACTTGCGGTTTTGGTGAGTCTCCCTAGTGCAGCATGGGATGCTTAAAAACACCAACACGTAGGTCTACACTGAGCGCCTGTACAGTGATTTAAAAATATCATACTAAGTCAAACCCTATTTTTATTACGTGTTGACAACGACTCTAACTGGAATGCTTAGGTTAAATATGGCACTCATAAATTATATAATATAAACAGAATGGGCCTAAATATTATGTTACTAATGCACACTTGATACAATTTTAAGTTAAATATTTAGAGATAGTCTCATATTTCGTAAAGCCTTAAAATAATAACTTAAGAAATGTTAAAAATAAAGTGCCCCATATATCGTACCATTACAGACGCCCCTTTGAAAGGTTGTCAAATGACATAAGGAGGCTTGTCAAGCTTTTAACATCCCTAAACCTAGGTAACTAAACCTAAATACGACCCTGTCCTCCATATTATATTGGGCCGAGTACGCCCCTGCTCGCTGCTGGTCCTTTTGGCTGAGTGCGCCCCTGCTTACTACTGGTCCTTTGGGCTGAGTACGCCCCTGCTCTCTTCTGATCCTTTGGGCTGAGTACGCCCCTGCTGTCTTTTGTCCTTTGGGCTGAGTACGCCCCTGCTGTCTTTTGTCCTTTGGGCTCAGTCCGCCTTTTTTTTAATTACAATCTTCTGGGTAGTTATGGGCTCACATTCACGGGAGTGTCTCGGAGATAACATAAAAAAAAATAATTTAAGAGCATCGGGATTTATTTAGAATCAACAAGACAGAAAAAAAAACAAGAAAAATAAAGCTTCTTCAATTAAAGTAATTTTATTGAATAATGTATCCATGCATTATTAAACTCAACTAGTAACAAACTAAACTATAAATCATCTAACTGCTAATACTACCTATTTATAAAAATACATGAAAAAAAATGGAATTAACTTAATCTAAGCAAATTATATTTAATATGTTTAATTTATTGGCACTCGATAATAAAATTTAAGATTAGTTATATTATAATTTCCTTTCTTAACATTTGACTCAGGGTCAACAAGTGTATATACATTAGGATAGGGTATGCTATTAACCCGATAGGGTCCTGAATATAGGGGACATAGTTTTTGAGATTGCTTTTTGGAGGCGTCCGATATCGGACTTTCTCGCAGAAGCACCAGGTCACCTACCACAAGTCGGTCATTTCTCTTATTTTGCCTTTTCCGTATTTCTGCATTTTTTTGTAAATTTTCGTTAGCAAATACCCGAATTTGTTCCACCGATAACCCATGGTTTGTCTGAGGTAAAACTTTTGAAAAGATTTGACTAAGTTTATTAGGCGGGTTTTTACCATGTAGAATTTCGTATGGTGAGAAACCGGTTGATAAATGAGGGACCGAGTTAAAGAGTTCCTGAATTTGTCCTAAAATTTCCGCCCAACCAGTATGTTTTTTAAAACAATAAGTTCGAAAAATTCGTCCAAGCTCGCGCATAACCCTTTCGCTCGGATTCGAGGCGGGATGTCGTATTGAAGTTAGACGCACTGCAATACCGTGTTTATGAAGATTCTGCTGCCATATGCGGGAAGTAAATTGTGTCCCATGGTCAGACACTATGGTTTCCACTGGGATAATCCTGCGGAAATCCTGCAAAATCTTATCAACTGCTATCTTAGCCACTGCTCTACGCATCGCATATAGTTTAACAAACTTTGAAAACGAATCTATAACAACGAAAACGTATGCCACCTTACCTCGCCCCTCTGGTAGTGGTCCAAAGAAGTCACACGTAACTATTTGGCCTAGACGGGTGGCAATTACTGGGTGGAACTCTCCTATAAGATACTTATTGGGGTATTTACTAACTTGACAGACATGACACGAGCGAGTTACTTTCCTAAGGCATGAATAAAGTTTTTCTACATACAGACATCTACGAATAATAATGTATAATTTATTTGCACCGTCGTGACCATACAACTCATGAAAGGCTTTAAGTACTATTAACCGGATATCTCGGGGGAGAATAAGGCGGGGGGAAAGCTCCGTGGGGTTCTTAAAGAGTAACACTCCCCTATACAAAGAACATAAAACAACAAGTTTGCGCTGTCTAGATGTAAGTTCCGGATTTTCACCGGATAAGGTGGCATAAACAGGTCCAAAGGTAGGATCCTCTTTTTGTAGGTTTGGCATTTCTGAAAATATTTTCTTTAGCTGAGAGAAATTTGAAATCTCAAATAGACAACCGAGTGGTCTCTCTGTTAAAGCTATTATTGGTTCCTCACGTTTTTCAAAAATTAAATCCTTGGGATTCGGTGGGTTTCGAGATAAGATATCGGCTACAATATTATCCTTTCCTTTAACATGTTCTACTGTAAAATTAAATTCACACATGTACATGATCCAACGCGATAAACGATCGTTTAAAAGTCGGCATTGTTTAAGAAATTTAAGGGCATGATGGTCAGTACGGATAATTAATTGATTTCCTAATAACATGGAGCGATATTTTTTTAAACCAAAAATTATAGCTAAAAGTTCTTTTTCCGTTACTGTGTATAATAACTCGGGTCCCCTCAAGACACGGCTCGCATAACCTAGCACCAAATGTTCCCCCTCGTTATCCTGTTGATAAACCTCTGCACCCAAAGCATACCCTGAGCTGTCGGTTTGTAAATAAAAAGTTTTTGTGTAGTCTGGAAAATGGAGTATAACTGTGCTTAAAAATAATGTTTTTACTTGTTGGAAAGCGTTTTCTTCCGTAGGTCCCCATTCCCATTTTACCGATTTTTTTAACAGTCTATTTAAGGGAACTAAGGAGTAACTGTAATTTTTGACAAAACGACGATAAAATCCGCAAAGACCCAAGAAACCTCTTAATTGTTTAATATTTTTGGGGGCCGGGAAATGGGAAATAGCCTCTAACTTTTCAGGGTCTGTAAAAATACCACGGGACGTAAGAATATGACCTAGAAATTTAACTTCGCTTTGTACAAAGTGAGTTTTTTCAAAATTAATGGTTATATTCGCGTTTTCAAATTTTTTAAAAACCGTCTCTAGATGACTTAAATGCTCGTTAAATGAATGCGAAACGACCAGCAGATCATCAATATAGTTGAACACGAACTGTCTTACTTCAGATCCCAATATAACATCCATGGCTCTAGAAAAACTACCGACCGAAACCTTGAGCCCAAACGGTAAAACTTGGTATGTGTAACTTCTCTGATTGTATAAAAATCCCGTATACTTGGTAGACTCGGGGTGTAGGGGAATTTGCCAATATGATGCCACTAAATCTATCGAACTTAAAAAATTAATGTTTGATAAAGAGGCAAATAGGTCTTCCGCTGGTTGTGGCGAGTCGTAATCAGCAACCATTTTCTCATTTAACCATCTCGCATCTAAACATATTCTCACCGAGCCATTTTTTTTTTTAACTACAGTCATAGGACTGACGTACGGTGTCGCTTCTTGTTTAATTACCTTTAAATCTAACATCCGTTGTATCTCCTGGTCAACAGCCGATCTTAATTTAAATGGTACTGGGTATGACTTGCGCAGAAAAGGGGTTTCCTCTAACATTTTAATTTCATGAATATATTTATTAGTTCTACCTGGATTTTCTTTAAAGATATGGGAATATTTTAACAGTAGATTTCGAAGAGAATTACGTTCAATTTCCGATAAATTTGTCAAGTTTCCAATTTGTTTATTTATTTTGGTCGTTATTTCTGGCCTGGCTTCAAGATGGTTTACTGCTGGTTCGGGGGTAGAGGGGTTAAATTCATTTTGTCCAGTTAGGTTAAACGGTACATATAAAATTTCAGACTGATTATTTAAAGTTAATTTATTAGCCGGAAAATCTAGGGTGCCCTTAACATCGTATATCCAATCAACGCCCAAGATTACCGGACGAATTAAGTTTTTGACTACCAGAAAGGAATGTGAAAACCACCTGTGAGTATTTGGGGGTATAGTAAATTCCAGGCAAACCTGAACTTTGATCTTAATACTTCGTTGTCCCGTGGCCCCACGAAGTTGCACCGAATTTAAAGGCAAAATAGCCAGTTTATTTTTAATTTGTAGGCACTCGAACGTTTCTTCGCTGATACAAGAAAGTTCACACCCGGAATCAATTAAAGTATAAAATTGTAACCCTTTTATATAAATCCAAATATGAGGCAAGGACCTAAAAGGACCTCGAATAGAACTTTTGAGTTCGCAAATGTCCAAAGGGATAGACGTGATTACTCCCTCCTTAATCCTTATGGTCTCCAGGGGCGTAACTAGTCCCTTTTTTTTAATACCTAATGGTTCATTTGGTCTCCATCCCATTTTTAATATGATGGCTGCACCTTTGGAGTAAACTTTTTCGAAATTTTGAATTTTTGGTGCAGCTACTATAACTAATTTATGATTATCAAGTCGGTAAAATGACAATGGGGAGGCTTCATAACTCTCCAGGAAAAAGCTCCACCCTAATTTTCCCGGTTGAAGTTTCCCGACCTTGGTGGTGGGGTTTTGGGGTCAAATTTATGAGTATTGAAATCCCGAGGACCGCGATCTAGTGCCGACATTCGGTCGATAAATTGCAAAGTTCCCGCAATAGTTCTATCAGCCGTGGCGCCCCAAAGTGACTGGACATTTATGGGGAATAATTGCATTACTTCCTGCAAAATACCTGCTTCTGACATGGGCGGCGTTAAATATTTTAACAAATTTATTTTGCGTAAAAAAAATTGAGAATAACTTAAATGTTTTCCAATATATTTTTCATTCAAAAATCGTTTTTTAAACACCAATTGTTTTTCCGGTGACCAATAATAATTTAAAAATGCCTCTTTAAACGTACCAAAATCCTTACAATCACCTTGCATGGTAGCCCAATCGACAGCAGAACCTTCAAGGCATGATTTAAATATTATTAATTTTTTATTTTCAATGTTATTTGCTGTACAATAATTGTCAAAAATTTTTAAAAACTTGGTTGGAATACTTGTGGGGTGTCCCGCAAACCGAGGTTTCTCACCATGCCAAACCGGCATTGAAATAGTCCTATCTGACAAGGCCAGCATCATTTTCTGGCATTGTGCTTCCGAAAAAGATACAGTGTGATTAGCTGTACCCTGCTCAGAAACCATAGTTATTGGTGATATCGGTGTACCTACAGTTTTATTAGGCGTTGAACAAAAAAAATTTGACTGACCTGTAGCAAGTGCCTGATGTGACGGTTCCGCAGACTCCTTCGGTGCGTCAGAATCCTTGGATTGCTTCCTTAACAGTTGTTCTAACAGCTTCGCCTGCTGTTTCATTGTTTCCTTCAGCTGCGTGATTTCCTCCGAGATAACGGTCAAACGATCAGCTTCCTCGACGTAGATAGAGTTTTCCCGCTGGTCCTCATTTGCTATGGGCGATTGGGGGTTTGATTCCTCCCTAGTCTGGACAGTTGTCTTTTCTGGGACCGCAATATCTCCTGGTTCAGTCATGGTTTGTGTCTAGTATCACAGATAAACAAACGACAGCACGAAAATCTATTTAAATAAACAACACTATAGAAAAAGCAGCTTAAAGAATAAAAATAACAGAAAGGCAAAGCCCAGTACTTTTACGTATCCTCCCGTCAACGGCCGCAATTTGTGCTAAAAAGCACATTAAATTTTGTAGTAACCCAGACAAAATTATTAACAAGAAGGTACTAGAAAAAACAAACTATTAAGATTCCTGAAAATAAAATAAGGAAAGCGAAATTCTGTATTCTATGAAAATGAAAAAAAATAAACACAGATAAACAAAAATTATTTTACCACACTGTGCGAAAATCATAAATCTATCAACAAGACCAAAATCAACCCATATCATCAATTTGGCAAAACAAGAGATAAACAAAAAGAATTTTTAACACCCTTGACACATGGTAACACAAGGAATACAAAATTCAACTACAATAAATAGATAAACTTTTAATCACCTGACATCAAGTGACGGGAACACGAATAAAAAATAAAAATTAAATGAATATTACAAAATCCTAGAAAAGGGTATTAAATTTTCGTGAGTCGGACATAACAAAAATTAACAACACATAGCAAGACATAACATAGCATTAATAAACATTTTATAATATAACATAATATAACATACCATAGCAAACATAACAAGACATAGCAAACATATCAAATCATCGCAAAACATAACATATCATAACAAAACATGGCAAAACATAACACATAGCAAAAAAATAGCAAACGTAACAAGACATAGCATACATATCAAATCATAGCAAAACATAACATAACATAGCAAATCATAGCAAAGTCAATTCATAATTATAACATGCAAATATTCAGGTTAAATAAATCATGCAAAAAAAACGGTTAAATAAAATCAATATAAAATAAAACCAATATCAAATAAAATAAATCCTAGAAATAAATTAGCAAGAACAAATTAACAAAAATAAAAAACAATATTAGACCAAACGAATCCTGGTTATTTGACATTAATTATAAATAAATTAGCAAAATCCTGGTCATACGACACCAATTTGTAATGAACGGGGGATGGGGGGCACACATTAATAATTAAAAAGAATATTGAAACCACAAAAAAAACTACCTTTGGCCAAAACACGTGATCGTCTAGTTTAAAGAAATTAAGTTAGGACCCCTTTTTGTTGTGAATACGGTTCTGGATACGTAAGTACTTGAGCAATTAATTAGATATTTAAAAAGCAAAGAAAAAGTATTAAATTAAAATAAGTTTATTAATAAAGGCAATTAATACAAGAGTTAATTATTATTGTTACTGTACATTAATAATATAAATAAAGACATTTGTATTTGAAAAGTATGATTGATTTAAGTTAATAAGGTAAAACCTTAAAAACCCACATATACAATACAGACATGCATATATGTCGCACATCTCAACAATATAAATAATACAACAACATCAAAGTAATCAATATGAATATAATCAATTATATTATCATATTGCTAAGATTATTCACCTACATAAATGATAGGCTCGGACGGTGTAGAAAAACAAATACACATTGAAATAATTATCAATGTACAGCAGCAAACAACAATAATGTGAAACAAAGTATAATATAACTTAGGTCACAAGCAACAACAATAAATGGTATTTGTATAAATAAAATATATGAATAACAAGTGGTGTAGTAGTGGACAAGAGTTATGCAATAAAATTGTACAGCCATAAATAACAAATAAAATCAGGTATGATAAAGTAATAAAATTATGTCATTGCAAATCAAATATAGCAAAATAAAATGATTATCAATAATAATAAAATAAGACCATAAAACAACAACTTCATATCAATATCCCTATCTAACCATTCTTTGTCAATCTAAATTGATACCTGGTAATCATTGGCAATTGGGTGCGCCTGTCAAAGCAGAGCTGTATCCACCCACCTCATACCAGAACCCGTCACAAAGTTTCCTAACTAAATAACTATTTGATATGCAGAACTTGAAACAAAGTCTCACCATATTAAATAATGAATATCAATTTATCAAATAAATAAAATAAGGTAAACTGTACACAATAACGTATATAAATGTTAAATATAAATAGGTAGTAAAATGTAAAATTACATTACAATATAATATGTTAAAGTAAATGTAATATAAATATAATAATTATAAACATAAAATAATGATTATAATAACTTTGTAATTTGGTTTGTCCACAACAACCATTAAGAATAATTCAGCTTATTATTTCTCTCAGAAAGAACAAGTTGAAATAATAATAATAAAATATAGTTTAAATTAAATATTAAATAATTAACCACTCATTATGATATTTGTGACCTCAGATTATAATAACTAAATATAGAAAAGACATACCTATTTAAATAAACAACACTTTTCACTAAACTGAATTTATACAAAAAACAATGAGAATTTAATAGTAAAACGTCACTCTCCTTTCAAAATGCAAAACCAACTGTTTACAAAATTCAAGAATTAAACCAATCCCTTTCAATATCAATACGTAACTGCCTTCAAAAATACCCTCTCTTCAGTTTTTAACATGCTTTTCTGTTTATTTTATCAAATCTAACCCGGCCTATCGATATGGTTCATTTTGAACGTGAGAACCTTCTCTGTCTACCGATATGGCTCAGACATACTTGCGGTTTTGGTGAGTCTCCCTAGTGCAGCATGGGATGCTTAAAAACACCAACACGTAGGTCTACACTGAGCGCCTGTACAGTGATTTAAAAATATCATACTAAGTCAAACCCTATTTTTATTACGTGTTGACAACGACTCTAACTGGAATGCTTAGGTTAAATATGGCACTCATAAATTATATAATATAAACAGAATGGGCCTAAATATTATGTTACTAATGCACACTTGATACAATTTTAAGTTAAATATTTAGAGATAGTCTCATATTTCGTAAAGCCTTAAAATAATAACTTAAGAAATGTTAAAAATAAAGTGCCCCATATATCGTACCATTACAGGTGGAAAAAATGTATGACAGCACCTGTCAGCAGTTTTTTCGAGTTTACCCGCGACAAACCTTGACAGCTGTTGTCACCAAAATTGCAATTTAAATTTTAATTGTACCATAAATAATTAAGTTTCTTGTATTTTGTGATTAAATAAATAACCTAATTTTCAGTTTTCAAATTAATGCCTACAAATTTATTATGTTACTCATGAAATAGTCTTGTCAAATACCATTCGGCATCTAATTTTTCCTGTGAAAAATATCGAAAAAACACAATGCTAAGTAATATTTTTTTAACAAAATGCATTCGTGCAGGTGCAAAAATCCTCGTCTTCGACTCAAATTTTTGTTGCCACCAGCACTCATGCTTGTTAAAATACTACTTTTTTTTGGAAAAATTAGATGATATTACTTACGAATATCGGTTTGAAGTGATAAGTCCCCATATGTAGCATTTACTTCGGCCAAAAAACCAGAGCCAATCGAGAACTTCAATGTTCCAGTAACTTCGTTGCCGCTTTCTATTCATCGCCAATGCCGTCACATATATGTTATTTTATTTCATCGTTGGTGTAGGGAGGACTCGCTTATGTAGGTATATTTTAGTTTTTTTATTTTGTTTGAAATACCCGCGGGCCGCAAAAAATTTTGGTAGAGATAAAAAATAATGTATCTACGGTTCAAAATATTTGAAAATAAAATAGAACCTATATACCTAATAAATAAATTTTAATTTTTTAATATTTAATTAAAAAGTTATATTGAATAGAGTAAAAAGTATTTGTAATTAGCAAAGTCTTTACTTTATGCTTAAACATTTTTAATTACAACGTTTTTATACTATCTGGCAAATATAAAATAGGTTTGGGCCAATATAACACAGTACAACACGATTTTCCTCCCATGAAAAATTTTGAAAGATTTTAAAAATAATACCATGTCCTATACCTAAAGTGACTAGTTTTCTAGATGTTTGCTATTAGGTTTACGGATATGGGGGTAAAAAAAACATTTTTCAACAAATTACCCGAGAAAACTAATAAGGGAAAATTAGGCTAATTTGAAACGTTAATAACTTTTTATTTTAAATTAGGGTTCGAAAATATCATGATATTTATATAAAAATCAAAATATCGGATATACATCCGATATAAATCCGATATATATCAACATCTTGATATTTTTTTATTTATTTATTTCTTTTAAGTTTTTGGTCAAAAATTAATTATATTAGCGAGAATAAAAATGTTTTTAATGAATGTACTTAAAAGAGTAAACAAAACACTTAATACATTAATTAAAGGTTCATCATCATATCTTTTTTATTACTTTCACTGCAATTATAACACAGCCCTACCATAGATTAAGAATATAAATCCGAGATTTCGCGGCCAGTAGTATACAATTGTGACAATACGGTCGTCTTTTAGACAATGCGCAGGATTAAACGAACAAATTAAGCCGGGTCTACAATTAGCGTAGGTCGCAGATCGCAGAACATAAGCTTGCGCAAAGCACCCACCTGCAAAATAACCTTGCTCCATCGCCACGTCGCGGGATGCTTTGCGCAAGCTTATGTTCTGCGATCGGACCTCTGCGACAATTGTAATCCCGGCTTTAAGAAAATTATATACTTTTTTTAAATGTTATAATAATAATAATCAAACCAGGTACATTTAAGGAACAAAACATATGGTTTATGTGACTAGTCAAGACAATATATGTATAAAAAATAAAAGTTGAAATATAAATAATTACCAACAGATTGACAATCATAAGTAATAATATTACTGCAATATAAATAAAAGAACCTAAGGCTAAAATCGGCTAAAATAGTTAAACATACTTTAAAAAGTATCATTTAAATAATGTTCAACATTATAATACATTTTATTAAGAAATATTTCTGTTAATCTTTTTTTTTAAACAATTCCACTCTTACATTGGACTATAACATTATAAATTTTGTTATAATACTTTATACCCTGATAGGTGTGGGATGTTTGGGATATATGTAATCGTGAAAATGGAAGTCTAATATTATATCTCTCTCTCTAGTGTTGTAATTGTGAATTTCGTTACTCTAATAAGTAAAGTTATTGATAGTATCATGTACTATGCTCCACACCTCAAAGTCCCACTACGTGACCACGTACCACGTACTGAACGCAGTCTTTTGAAAATTTGGCATTTAAGGCTTTTCAGGTTATGTATCTTTCAAAGTATAGTCAATGAAAGAAATAATATTTATAGTGTTACCGCTTATGTTTAAGCGTTAATAGTTAATAAATCTTTATAGTATCACAAAAGCAATGGTTGGTTTAAAAATTTAGGAATATAAATACTGCATTTAATGAAATTCCAAAGTGTAAGGTGCAATATAAGTGATATTTTTGTGCATTGGGTCTACATTTCTCCATAAAATAGTTTTAACTAAACAGCATTTATTAAAAAAAAATGTAACTTCTCCATTATGAAATATGAATATCTGTATCAAAGGTTAATGTATTAGAACAAAAAATATCATCTAATTTTCTATTTTAAGATTAGAAAAATCTATTTTGACCAAAATAAATAAGTGGAGTATGTGTGTTAATGTTTATGAGTCATAAACATTAACACAATTATGACCACACATAAATATAGGTATACTTAATAATTGTTGAATATGGTTCATATTAAATTGAAGCTTTTATACTTCTAATGACAAAACTTGTGCATACCTCTCGGCATACCTACTTTAAGTTAGATTATAAGAAAACAAACAATTTTTAGAGAAACTTGCAATTTAAAAATATTAAAGTTATTAACGTTTCAAGTTGTATTTTCTTGGGTAATTTGTTAAAAAATGTTAAAGAATTGACATGGAATCTTTTAAACAATGTTTTAAGATTCCAAAAATTCCACCCCCATTTTCGCAAACCAAATAGCAAAAAAGTTATAGGGTATTTTTGATTGACGCGCATTTGTCATATTTGAACGGAAAAAATTAATAACTCGAAAACTATTCACTTTAGGTATGGTAAGTAATTTTGCTCAAAATTTTATGTTTAATTGAAAAATGTAAAAAAATATAGGGTATTATATTTAAAATAACAAAGTTGATATCACTTCCGGTCAAACCGGAAGTGGCATATTGTTTAAAATAGGCTTAATTGTATTATAGCCGCTTTAAAAATTTCAAATCTATATCTTTTGCCGTTCCTCAGAAATTCTCAATGGACCACAAACGTGAAACACCCGTATTTAAATCGCAGTTAAAAAAAATGACCTGATCTAAAAAATTGCCGAGACACGGGTATCATTTTTTTAAGTCTATTTTCAAAATCTATAGGAATTTTTCATGGGAGGGAAAAAAATCAAATTTTGTTGTACTGTGTAATCAATGCATTTTTGAGATTTTGACAATCTGAACAATGGGAGTCTTAATTGGTTTTTATTCCTTGTTTTATATGAGTGAAGGACATTGAGGGATTAATAGTCGCTGAACTAACAGGGCACTTTTTTATATACTTTTGTAATGTGTCATAAATAAAAAAAAAGGTAAAAGTAAAAAAAATTGTTCTATGTATATTATTTGCAATTGTCTCTATAGTTAACATTAGTTATGATGCTAATAGTTTTACTTTAAAGTGAAAAAATGCGACTGGTGCTGGGACTTTGAGCCCAGGGTGGCGATTCTCGAGTTAAGAGAACGCTTCTCATAGGAGAAGTGGGCGTTTCTCTTAAGTTTTGACAGGCTGCATTATTGAATTTAAGATAAGTTAGTGCGTTCTTCTCTTGGAAACTATTTTCTGCTTTAGGAGAACCAAACTATTGCATGATTTTAAGAATGCAGCCTGTCAAAACTTAACTGAAACACGCCCACTTCTCATGAGAATAGCGCTCTCTCAACTTGAGAATCGCCCCCCAGGGCGGCGATTCTCGAGTTGAGAGAACGCTATTCTCATGAGAAGTGGGCGTGTTTCACTTAAGTTTTGACAGGCTGCATTCTTAAAATCATGCAATAGTTTGGTTCTCCTAAAGCAGAAAATAGTTTCCGAGAGAAGAACGCACTAACTTATCTTAAATTCAATAATGCAAAACTTGAGAGAAACGCCCACTTCTCCTATGAGAATAGCGTTCTCTTAACTCGAGAATCGCCAGCCAGGTTAGTATTGAATATGACAACGAGTAGCAAAGTAAAAAATAGGCGCTAGATACCGATGAGGAAAGGTTTCTGAGTAAATATATATTTTGTGATAGTTTAGAAGCAATAATTAATATGAGTATTCCATTGCAATTTCGGATCTGGATAAATCCCATGAAATTTCACTTAATTTTCTTTCATTTTGACATCTTAGCGAAAAGATAATTTTTGTCGTCTTACCTGCATTGAGCGTGAGAGTGTTCTGGACAAAACCACTCAGAGGCTTTCGCCTGTGCACAACACAAAGTTGCAGATTGTATCAAGATAATGTTGAAAATTTTAATTATGGGTGTGGGGTGGTAAGTTTTGTGACTTCTTGTGAAAAAAGGTCAAAAATCACGTGACGTAATATGTAAAAAGTATTAATGTCCTACCTATTTTTTTTAATGTACATATTATTATCATTTTGTCACATTGGATATATTCTCAGCTCAACAATGATACATTATAATTCATAACCGTATTTGAATCTTTTATGATGTTATTATTGTATAAAATAATATAAATTTTACTTTACAATTTATAGATTTTTGGACACCACTGCAGTATTAATGCACAGCCCCCGATCAGATGATCTGCAGGATTTTTTGTCTTCCATATATAATGCCAGGATAGCAGATCCGGGCCGAAATTTTATTGTTTCATTTAATCGGGGTGAAAGTGTGAGTATTATTTATAAACTTAATTTAACTAGCTTAACGGTTTAAAGTAGTAATACTCAGTAAAGTATTAGGGTCTTTCCATCTCAAATCGACCAGGCAAAAAGGGGTGTGTCGTTAATTTTCAACGAAATTCTTTTTACAGTTTCTCTACCGAAATCGATGAGACCCGTATTTTTTCTTTTTGCTTAAATTTTTGGAATTGTGTTCTACATTTCTTCGAAATCGCGTTTTTATAAGTTTCTTGTGAATTCGATTTATTACTTTTAGGCATGTAATACTTACTTTTTATTATTTTAACCAAAATGAACTTACTTTTTACATCTTTTAACAGTTACACATGCAAAAACATTATTTAATTTACTAACTTAAGAGCATTTCCGGTGAAACCAGAAATGACAAAAATACCTATTTTAAATATGTCAAAAAGTTCTAAATTACAAATTTTTGCGATTAACCACGAATTTACTAGAAAATGGCATTTTCAATTAAAAATAATAATTCCGAAACGATGAATTTAGCCAACTCGGGACTTTTGGTAAGAGTTGTTCATATTATCAACCTCAAACAAAAAAAATAAAAAGTAAAATGTTGCAATGGTCAAAATTTTCACCTCTTTTTTTTGCCTTTTTCAGTAAAAAACAATTAAAAAGAAATTGAGTAAATTCACTTAACTTTTTATATATTTTTTTGTATTTAGTAACCATGTACAGGGTAATCCCCTATGTCGCCCCCCTTTAACTTTTTTATTTTAAGTGTCCCAAAAAATTTAAAAGTGTGGTTATGTAGGTACTAAAAATACTTTTTTTCTACGTATAAAGAAAATTGGAAAATTGATGAGTATACAGGGAAAACCAAAATGTTTTTTTTTTCAATGGATCACCCTATATACATATGTATTTATTTTTCTATTCCTTGTAAAATTCTAAGCATATTTTATATAACATAACATATACCTAAATTTAACCGTATCTGAAATATTTAGATAATAAGTTGAAATAGTTTCTCTTTCCTTGTCTGAGTACGCAATTTTTACTTATTTAACAAGACATATTGACATAATGTCACTATAGTAATTTATTTTCAATACAAATTTTGGTATACTGAGGCTTCTTGATTTATAACAGTTTAAAAAAATATTAAATGATAACATTTCGAATGCGAATATTTCAGAAACTGTTGAATTTAGGTATATGGTTTGTTATATGAATTATGCTCAGAATTTTACAAGGAATCGTAAAAAAATTCATATATAGGGTGATCCATTGAAAAAAAATAATCTTTTTATTTTTCCCTGTATATTGATAAATTTTCCATTTTTTTATACGTAGAATAAAAGTATTTTTTAGTACACATAACCACACTTTTAAATTTTTTGGGATACTTAAAATAAAAAAGTTAAAGGGCATTATAGGGGATCACCCTGTACCTACAATTAAAATAAAATTGTAACGATCGAAACCGTTTTGGCCAAGTTATCGCATTATTAAAAAAATGTCACTCGTAAAAAGGGAAAAATCGATGTTTCTCCCCATTTTTCAAAAATTTCCTACGAGTGAGGGCCGGTTTATCAATGTCCGGTAAAAGTTGCAGTTAGTTATCTGGCAGATAATCTCCATGGATACCCTTGTTCTCACAACGATCGATATGGAATTAAACTGGAACTAAACCAGAGATTGATAAACCGGCCTTGAACAAAACAAATACCAGTGTCATCGATTTTGGTAGAGAAACTGTAAAAAAAAATTCGTTAAAAATAACGGCCTACCTCTTTTTGCCTGGTCGATTTGAGATGGAAAGGCCCACAATTAATAAATTAATTATTGCATAGTTATAATACTGCCGTGTTAAGCTTAAAGGTCGTATCTGCAATATTTTGTAGTAAAGGACAGAAGAAAATTTTAATTTTAAAAACGATAAAAAATGGCTTTTTCTTACTACCTCGACTCAAAATACGTTGTTTCGTCCCCGATTCCACGGCAGAAAGTTTACGTTTTATGCATTGGTCAAGCTATACGCGCACACTCTAATAGCGGAAGTAAAAATTTTTTAGTCGTGTGCTTAACATTCAAATTTCGTACTGCCAACATGAGAAACACAAAAATATGACAGTTTTAAACCATAATTTTGCAATTATAACAACAAATAAACAATTTATGTTTTTACTTTTTTACTTTTTATGTTGTTTTAAGTGTTTAATGGTACTTTTATTTGTTATAAAGTAGTAATTTGTTAATTAAAATACAACCTTTTATTTTTACTGTATTGGCACCGCTGAATTCACGGCCTACTGTTATTTATTTATCAAGCTCTTCAAATGGAGATAGGTACATAAATACACATTTAATTTTTTCCCGTATTTTCCGCCGGGTTGTATTTTCGGCCGAGGTAGTAAGAAAAATAGTATACACTACACGGGCAGAAAGTGTGAGAGCCCTGAACTGCGCGCCATGATGCCCTCGGCTTCGCCTCGGGCATCATGGCGCGCAGTGCAGGAATCTCACACTTTCTGCCCTTGTAGTGTAATATACTATTTTGCTTTACTACTAAATATTGCAGATATGAAGTTTTGTCTTCGAACGGCAGTTTGTGGTAGAAAAAAAAAATCTTTATTCTTTATTTTTTTTAAAAATTAAAATTTTCTTCTGTCCTTTACTACAAAATATTGCAGATACGACCTTTAAGCTTAACACGGCAGAATAGTATATTATGTATAAAGTTTTATAAACGCCATTTTGGTTTAATTAAGCACAAGCGAAGCTTGCGAGCAAGTGTTTAATAAAAACGAGTGTCTAGAGAAGATTATAAATAAGTTGCATACCTTATCTACGACGAACCCAAAACATAATTTAAAGCCAATTTTATTTTTTAAAAATTTTACATCAACTATCACCCTCACTTTTTCCCAATTTATAATAAAGCTAACTTGAACCCTTGACTAAGACGCCATAGTCACAGTTTGTCTATGTAGGAGTAGATAATAGTATATTATTTATCAAGTTTGATAAATGCCATTTTAGCTTGCGAGCGAGAGTTTAATTAATTTAGTTTATAAACTTCTATACTATACTTTTTCTTCGACAAGTACTTATTATTATTTTAAAAATGATTTAAATTAAATATTTGTATTATTGCATTATGACTTCAAGTTAGTAATTTGGAATCTGTATTATCGGCGCGCCGCGGCGCGTCGGTCAAAATGTCAAATTTTTATGTATAAATCAAAATGTATCCCTTAAAAATGGACAAATTAAAGTGGTGCAATTTATAATTCACTACAGTTTATCAACAAATTTCAAAATTTATTTAAAAAGTCCAAGTATTACAGATTTTATACTATTTCTAAATTTTTAAATTTAGAAATAGAATTAATAAAAATTTAAAATGGTATAAAAGCTGTAGGTAATACTTGGACTTTTTAAATAAACTTTGAAATTTGTTGATAAACTGTAGTAAATTATAAATTGCACCACTTTAATTTGAATTATCTTAATTTGGGAGGCAGGAGGCTGGGGGCACACTAAAGAACTAACTTTTTTTCGCAAACATCAATTTAAATTCTGCTTGCCCAGAACTTGTCTATATAATGTCATTATAAGCTCATATAAATTTGGTATGGGTCCCATATGTAATAACTGAGATATCGGTGTACCCAAATTAAACCAGCCGCCGGTCCACTGGTTAAATCCGATATAAAAGCAGTTTTTCACAGTGAAAGAGAAGATAATGTATATGGGCACTCCTCGTTGAAGTCTCCACCCGCAATTTTTAATGGTTAATCAGTTAAATCTAGTTTACTGCCGGCGAAATCAAAATTCAGTTTAACGTGCATTTAAACTTTTCAAATATTGGCGTTAAGAAATTATTTAATACTTTGTATTTTTGTATTTGATAATAAAATTATTTTCACATTATTATTTCACAAGGGCACTTTATTTTAACGATTGGATGGAATTTGACAACTGTCAACCAATTCAAACCCGCTTAAACCTAACTTCAGCCCGTGACTAAAACCTATTGCTAACTGCAGCCAGTGACTAAATCGCCATAAAGCCACAACATCTCAATGTGTATTTAAAAGGTAACTTAGTGTCATGGAAACATGTACAGGGTGGTCCACGTAAGGTGACCCATATACTTATCTCAGAAACTACTGGAGTCACAAAAAATTTGTAAGGAACAAATATTCACGAAGTAAAAAATATTTTTAAAATATTATATTTTCATTTATACAGGGTGTTCGGTTTTCCTTGGGACGATACCAACTTTCTTATTTTCAACGGAACACCCTGTATTTTTTTGCATTTTTGGATTCTACCCACTCTTTTAGGTATACTTTGTAAATATATTAATTAAGAAAATGTTAATACTTTTTGAGTAAAATTAAGATTTATTAAAATTTCTCTAAATGTAGACACTCGCTAAAAGTTAAAAATAATCAACTAAAAGTTATTATTTTTTATATTATGTAGTATCCATCTCTTTAATAATAAGTAAGCTATAAGTTAATTATTATATTTTTGGAAAATATCATACAGGGTGTTTTCTATGTCCCGTTGAAAATAGCGATTTTAAAAATTTAAAATCTTGTTTTTCTTCAATGGAACACCCTATATATTTTTGCATAATTGGATAGAATAAGTAATTACCTTTCATTTTATATATATATGTCCTATACCTAAACCTAACAGAAAAAAAAATATTCGCATTTTTCACAATTAGTAGCTTTTTCCAATTACCTTAGTTAAATTTTCATTATTCAAATAAATAAATTTCAATAACAACAAATAAAAATGCTTTTATATATAAATATATATTACTATAATAATTACCATACGCGCAAAGCTACTAATTTTGTAAAATGCGAATATTTTTTTTAGGTGATCCACGTAAGGTGACCCATTTACTTATCTCACAAACTACTGGAGTCACAAAAAATTTGTAGGAAACAAATATTCACAAAGTAAAAAATATTTTTAAAATATTATATTTTCATTTATACA